GGTGAGTGAGATGGTGAGTGAGTGAGATGGTGAGTGAGATGGTGAGATGGTGAGTGAGTGAGATGGTGAGTGAGTGAGAGATGGTGAGTGAGATGGTGAGTGAGATGGTGAGTGAGTGAGATGGTGAGTGAGATGGTGAGTGAGATGGTGAGTGAGATGGTGAGTGAGATGGTGAGTGAGATGGTGAGTGAGTGAGATGGTGAGTGAGATGGTGAGTGAGTGAGATCACAAGTCTGTGAGGGAGTGAATGAGTGAGTGAGTCTGAGTGACAGAGACCCTCCTCTAGGATCAAGGAGAACAGGAGCAGAAAGAAGAGCTGGAGGAAGGTCCAGGAGACCAGCAGCTTAGGCATCCCTGCCCCCGTCCCCACGAGGCAGAGGCTGACCTGGCCGAGGGCTGTGAGGGCGCAGGGCTGTGTCAGGGCCAGCCGGGAGTCCACCAGCCCGCCCGGCGGCGGCTCCTTCCCCGGGACGCTGTTGTAGTAACTGTGCTCCGCAGCCTCCTCCTCGTCCCCCCAGGCCGACTCCTCTGGCCCCGCCAGCCTGGGGGACAGACAGCAATGGCCGTGGCACAGGCAGGGCCCAAGGGGGCTAAACCCTCACAGCTTGAGCTTCTGGGGGAGCAGGAAAGGCCTGAGTTCGAATCCCAGCCCCCCGCCTGTCGCTGAGGGTTCCCACCAGGAAACGCTTCGCGAGCGAGTGACGGGGCCCACTACTTCCTCGTCTCTGACATGGAATGTTGCACACATTTCCAAGCTGCAGCACAAAAGGCAGGACGCTGGCAAACCGGGTCCCACTCCTTTCTGCCCATCTCCGGCGCCGCCCGGCAACAGAGGGCAGGAGCCAAGTTTATCCCCAGAACCAGGACGTCGCCGGTCAGGGTGGCAACTCTCTGGGCTCAGAGCACCCCCGCCCTCCGGCCCTGAAGGCGCTGGCGGGCTCCTCAGCAAGCACAGCCCGGAGAGCCAGAGGGGCACACGCCGCCTGGCCCACAATCGCTGCCGGGATAAACCACAGGGCAGCCTACGGAAGGCAGGGGCAGCTCCAGAGGCAGGCGAGGAGCCCGTCCCAGCGTCGGAGCGCGCCGAGCAATGTGCGTCGAGCACGCCGTCCCTGTGCACAAAGGGGTGAGCGTGAGCACGCGTGACCAGCAGGGCTGGGAGCTCACGGGCCTGCACCTGCCCTCCCACCGTTGGAGGAACATGACTTTCTAATGATGAATAGAGACTTAAATGCCTCCTTCTCCAAGGCCGGCTGGCAAACCCCAGCCCAGAGCCAAATCCAGCTCACCGCCTAGATCTGTGTGTCCACGAGCTAAGAACGGGCTTTCAGCCTCTAAATCATCAAAGTTAAGTGTCTGAGAAAACATCCAGAGAATCATATTTTGCGACACGAGACATTCACACTTCAGTGTCTATAAATAACGTGTTACCAGCACACAGACACGTCCCCCCTTTACACATCCTCTGTGGTGGGACAGAGGCCGTTTGGGCCGCGCGGCTGGAGGAGGGATGTTGGTTATAGCGGCAGGGCTGACAGCCTCGGGCACACCGGGGAGTCAGCTCGCTCAGTCCTCCCGAGTCCTGGGGGCGGGGATGCGTTTACCCGGGTGTTACAGCCGAGGAAACAGGATCCTCTGGCCGAGCCACGTTCTCAGGGGACAGGGAGGGAGGGACAAGGGCAGGACAGAGGCCGAGGCCTGCAGGAGGTGGAGCCAGCTCTGCACCCGGGCAGGTCGCTGGGGGCGTCCCCAGGGCATGGGGGAGGTGGGTCTGTTACCTTTCTGGGGGCAGTGCCACCTTGGGTGGGCTGTGCAGGTACTGCTTGAAGCGCAGCTCGAAGGCTTGGCCGACGGTGCTGATGACGCTCTGGGCCAGGCCCTCACAGCACTCCAGGATGTGGCAGGCTGCGGGGACGTTGGTCATGCGGCCTCCAAGCCACACGGCCGTGCCCCGGCCACAGGACCCCCACCGGCCTCCCCGGGGAGCCTCACCTCTCTGGTTGATGGGGTCCTTGGCGACGTAGGCCACGTAATCCGTCATGTCCTGGGGGCAGGGAGGGGCCAGCTGGACCTGCCTGGACCCCCCACCGGGATTCCCAGCCACCCACCCCAGCAATGCAGACAGATGGGGCAGTGGATGTGGACACAGGGTACGTGAGGTGGGCTCTGGGGAAGGGCGAGAGGGTCTCGCGGCTGGAGGGGGCGGCGGGGCTGCAGGTCCACCCCCATCCCTGGCCTCACCGTGTCTCCACCTGATGCGAAGGAGATGGACGGCATGTGGTGGTTGGCGATGACCTGTGGGGGCAGGAGGCACACGTGGTCATGGGGATCCCCGCTTTGAGGGCAGGGGGCCCGGCAACTGTACCAGGGCCACATCGAGGAAGGGGCAGGGGCAGGGATGTGGGGATGGAGACATCCCCTGGACACACACCCACTGCAGCCGGGTCCTGGGTCAGCCTAGACAACTGAGGCTGGGATGTGGAGGCCCCAGCAAGGACGGGACTAGGGCCCTAAGGGATGTGTGGGGTCCACAGGAGGTCACATGGGAATGTGCGTGAGAGGACAAACCACCCCCAATGCAACACCACACAGGCACCTGCCCAGACGCTCACGCACACACATCCCATGCCCCACACACGTGCACACACACACACACCCCCACACACCCGAAGCAGCCGTGGGAGGGCTGGACCCACACTCCTGACTCCCTTGTCCACGTGCAAGGGCACCTGTGAGTGCATTTGCATGCTCATCTGAATGCTCATTTGCATGCTTATGTGCTTATTTGCCTGCTCGTCTGTGTGTTCATCTGCATGCTCATTTGTGTGCTCATTTGCATGCTTGTGTGGTCATTTGCATGCTTCTTTGCATGCTCATTTGCAGGCTCATCTGCATGCTTGTTTGTGTGCTCATTTGCAGGCTCATTTGCATGTTCGTGTGCTCATTTGCATGTTCATTTACATGCTTGTGTGCTCATTTGCATGCTTCTTTGCATGCTCATTTGCGTGGTTCTGCTTCATTTGCTTCCCGTCACTCAGATCTCTCTAGGCCCCAGTGAACCCCCACTACCAGCCACGTCCTGAGTCCTCCCTACAGAGCATCCACTCCTCAGCCCCCATAGGGACCCTCGAGGCTCTCCCCTGGCCAGCCCCGGCCCAGCCAGGAGGGTCCGCTCGGAGCCTCAGTGTCCTGTCCGTATGGTGGTCAGGGGTCCATGCCTCGCAGGGTCGGGGTGGAGATGGAAACTGCGTGGAAACTGCCCTAGCCACCCCCGGCCAGCTCCATCCTTCTCTAGCCTCATCCCTGGAGCCCCACCTGCCGCCCCAACGCCAGCCCAGGGACGCTGCCTCGCCCCGAACCCCTCACGATGACCCATGCTGACTTCTCCGACAGGGAGACGCCTCCTCTCTCAGCCAGGCCTCCCTGAGACCCCCCTCCTCACCACCTCCCAGAGCCCTCCAGGAAGTCTCTTCCAGCACACAGAGCACAGCACACGCTCAGGACACCCCTCGCCTGGCCTCGCAATGCCTCCTAGAATCTATTATTTCCTTCATTTCTGCAATTATGTTTTTTTGTTTTTCTGGTGTTCTGAGATGCTCTGTCGCCCAGGCGGAGTGCAGTGGTGCGATCTCGGCTCACTGCAACCTCCGCCTCCCGGGTTCATGCCATTCTCCTGCCTCAGCCTCCCAAGTAGCTGGGACTACAGGCGTCCGCCACCACGCCCGGCTAATCTTTGTATTTTTGGTAGAGTCGGGGTTTCTCCATGTTGGCCAGGCTGGTCTCGAACTCCTGACCTCAAGTGATCCGCCCGCCTCGGCCTCACAGTGCTGGGATTAGGGCCACCGAGCCCGGCCTGCAGCGATGATACTTCTGCTGTTTGTTTCCCCGTGAGGACTGGTAGACGGGTTTATCCCCCTCCCCCAGGCACTGTGGAAGTTGGGGCGGACTACTCTCTGGGGTGGGGCATCCTGGCCACTGCGGGGTGCTGAGCAGCGTCCCTGCCCCCACCCACTCCATGCCAGAAGCACCCGGTGTCAGGACAGCTTGCCCAGGCGGGAGCCCCTGAGCTGAGCCCCGTGAAGCCAGCAGCTGCACCCCAGCTCCCGCTCAGCAGGGCCTCGGCTCATCTTTCCCGATAAACGCCACCTGCCGCCCGCCCCCAGCGCCCAGCCTGGCTTTGCCTCGGTGGCTCCTAGGACTCCTGGCCCCTCTGGGGGTCTGGGGACGCCGGGGAGGAGGGCAGACCCACCTGGCGCGTGGCGGGCACGGAGAGGCTGAGGCCGTCGGTGGAGATGTGGATGGAGATGCTCATGCCGGCGAAGCGAAGGTTGCTCTTGCCCAGGACGGACGCCAGGGCCTTGTTGGGGGCCTGAGTTGGGGGCGGAGCACAGCGAGGGCGGCCATGGGTGGGGGCCGCCGAGGGGCTCCAAGGATGGCCGCAGCGTCCCGGCGGCTCCCGACTGCTCCACCGGCCCCACGAGAGACCACAAGCCTCACTCACCTTTTTCTTCCAGGATCCCCGGACGCCAGGCACGGCCTCGTGGAGCCGGTTGATGGCTTCCCTGGGGATGGGAGGAGGGGGCTTAGAGAGTGTGGTGGGGGTGGTCAGGGAGAGAGCTGGGGAGGAAGGAGTCAGAGAGGGCAGGGGTCTGGGGAGGGGGCAGGAGCTCAGAGAAGGGCAGAGTCAGAGAGGGGAGAGGAAGGCAGAGAGGCAGGGGATGGGAGAGGGTGGGGGCTGGGGAACCTGGGGGACGAGTGCCCAGCAGGACAGGTCCAGCCCACCCTGTCTGCGTCCTTGCATCCGGCAGATGCCCGGCCCCCAGCTCCAGCCCCTCTACCACCGTCTCTTTCCCGGGGACCACGTGTCCCTGGCCTCGGCCCAATAGGAAGGCGCGGGGTCAGATCTGGGGGTTGGACCAGCGAGCAGGAGACCCTGAGCCTGACCCCAGTCCCGTGTCCTGATCCTGTCTGCAGTGCCAGAGGAGTGACCTCTGCTCTGGAGGGCCCCTGAGTGGTGGCAGAAGCTGACCCCAAACAACAGTGCCTCAAACCACTGGTCCCCAGGAGAGGTCAGAAGTCTACGGGGTCCTGCAGGGGCCTCGGAAATGTCAGCGTCATGTGGAGAAACCAGACCCCCCCGACCCAGGGCGCATGGGAATTTCCACGGCACGGCCGCTGTGGAAAACAGCCTGGGGACTCCTCAAAAGCTTAAAAATTGTCCGGGCACAGCGGCTCCCACCTGGAATCCCAGCACTTTGGGAGGCTGAGGCGGATGGATCACCTGAGGTCAGGAGTTCGAGATCAGACTGACCAACATGGAGAAACCCCGTCTCTACTAAAAATATAACAACTAGCTGGGCATGGTGGCAAGTGCCTGTAATCCCAGCTACTCAGGAAGGCTGAGGCAGGAGAATTGCTTGAACCTGGAGACAGAGGTCGCAGTGAGCCAAGATCTCACCACTGCACACTCCAGCCTGGGCGACAGAGTGAGACTCCGTCTCAAAAAAAAACACACAAAATAGAAAAGAAAAGAAAGAAAAGGAGCGAGGCTCTGACCCAGGCCATAGCGCGGATGCAGCTTGAGAAAGTCACGCTCAGTGAGAGACGCCAGACACAGGAGACCACGCAGCGCGTGATCCTATTGGTACGAAATGTCCGGGACAGGCCGATCCACAGAGACAGGGAGGGGATGGCTGGTGGGTGCCGGGGCTGGGGAGGGGATGAGGAGTGGCTGTGAGGGGGATGGGGTGTTTCGGGGGTAATGAGGATGTTCGGAACCAGACAGTGGTGGTGGTCGTGTGACTGTGAAGATCCTAAAAAGCCCAGGTGAATCGTTTGATGCGGGAATTACATCTCACATACGCACGTGTAAACTACCCCACATAGGTTGTTTTAAGTCTGTATGAATGGAATCAACCAGTTTTCACAGAAAAAAAGGGTGTCGCTCTCCTCCCTGCCTAAGCCCTGGTCATATTCACAACCCCTGAGATTCCCTTCCAGACACCGCACAGCATCCTGAGGTCACCGTGTGGAGAACAGAGCAGGGACACAGAGACGCCGATGGGCCCTGGACCCAGAGGGAACCCGCCAGGCCCTGCACTCCCCGCCGTGCGGAGACGTGCCCAGCACCCTGCGAGCGACCGGCGTTCTTTCCATCTTAGAGGAGGACCGAGGCCTGGAGGGCCCAGTGATCGATGCCTGGCGTGGGGACAGGGCGGAGACGTGGCGTGAAGTGGGAGGGAGGTAGGAGGGCGCCGAGGCTGTGTCCTGGGGCCCCAGCACGGCTGTCGTGGAGCCCATCGCTGCTGCCCTCCAGCGCCTCACACAGCCCTATGCGGCCAGGGCAGGGTTGGTGGCTCACCTGGTCACCTGCGTGCGTGTGTTAAAGTCCAGGGAGCGCATGGAGCGGAGGACCTCGATGCAGCCCATGTACTGAGGGGAGAGAACAGGTGTCAGACGCCATCGGAAACCCCGCAGTGGAGCCACGTCCCTTTTCCCCGCAGCCCTTCGCCTCCTCGGCCACCCCTGAGGTCGAGCCCTTTCCTCTGCCCCTGGTGGCTCCGGGGCCTTCCTGCCTCCCCCACCTCAAGGCCTGGACACTGTCCCGAGAGCCGCCCCCTCGAACTCCAGGCATGTTTTTCTCTGTTGCTGTTTCTCAGGGGCCTGGCGGTTCCCCCCGAGGCTCTACAGTGCTTGGTCCCTTAACCGTCTTGCCCTTGTTGGTCTCTTTCTGTTCAGCCAGCACCTAAGCCGAGGAGTGTGAGGACGGTGCGATCCCGAGCACTTCCCTATCTCCAGCGCCCAGCTCAGGGTCTGGCAAACAGTGGGGTGGACGTCCTGGCAGCCACAGATGCACACACTGCTGGCCTCGCCCTCCACAGGAAGTTTGCGGGCTCCCGGCCAAGACAGCCGTTTCCGTGAAAAGGGAATTCACTGTCTCAACGACTCTGGTGATACCGACGGACAAGAGGGGCAGAGGCGTCCCTCCGAGTCCCTGGCCTGCTTCAGTGCCGTGAAGGGTGGGGGAGCAGGGCCAGGAGGCGAAGGCCACAGCATCCTTCCATCCCTGGCCCTTGCTGGTGGGAGGGGAAGGGGCACAGCCCACGTCATCTCTATGAAATGTCCTACAGAGGCAGCGAGAGGACGTGTGGGTGCCAGGGATCGGGGAGTGAAGGCTGATGGGAACACGCTTCCTACTGGGGTCATGAGCAATTCTGGAATTAGACAAAAGGGGTGGTTGCACAATATTATGAATGTACTAAATGCTACTGAATTGTGAAAAATGCAACAAGCAAAATAATTAATAACGTTATGTGAAGTTCACCTCAGTTTTTTTGAATGATCAGCACACAAACACTTTGACCCTGAAACTCCATTTTTAGGACTTTGCCCCACAGATACACCAGCCTGAGGGCTTCTGAGGTGTGTACAGGTCACCGTGTGGGTTGGCCCAGACGCTGCCCCTCTCCACGGCTCCATGTGCCCGGAGCAGGGCGAGCAAGGAGCAGAGACAGACGCGAGAATGCAGGCAGGAAGCAGAGGCCACAGAACCTGGGCTATGATGAGGGGCAGGGGTTCATCCTGGGCCAGCTGGGGAGCCAGGGAGCACTTCAGCAGGGCATGGACTGAGAGGCCTCACCTCCTGTTGAATGGATGGATGATGGGTGGATGGACTGACAGATAGAGGATGGATGGATGAATGAAAGAATGGATGGAGGATGAATAGATGGCTGGGGGGGGTGAGATGGTGAGTGATGGTGAGTGAGAGATGCAGGAGGAGACTTGAGTGAGATGGTGAGTGAGATGGGGAGTGAGATGGTGAGTGAGATGGTGAGTGAGATCGTGAGGAGATGGTGAGGAGATCAAGAGGATCGTGAGGAGTGAGATGAGGAGTGAGATGGTGAGATGGTGAGTGAGTCTGTGAGTCTGAGTCTGTGAGTGAGATTGTGAGATTGTGAATGGAGCTCAGTGAGTGAGATCGTGGAGGAGATCATGAGCAGATCGTGAGGAGTGAGATGGGGAGTGAGATGGTGAGTGAGATCGTGAGTGAGATGGTGAGTGAGATGGTGAGTGAGATGGTGAGTGAGATGGTGAGTGAGTGAGTGGGTGAGTGAGATGGTGAGTGAGTGAGAGGGTGAGTGAGATGGTGAGGGAGATGGTGAGTGAGATGGTGAGTGAGTGAGATGGTGAGTGAGATGGTGAGTGAGATCATGAGTGAGATCATGAGTGAGTGAGATGGTGAGATGGTGAGTGAGTCTGTGAGTCTGAGTCTGTGAGTGAGATTGTGAGATTGTGAATGAGTCAGTGAGTGAGACTGAGTGAGACAGAGTGAGTGAGAGGGTGAGTGAGATGGTGAGTGAGATGGTGAGTGAGAGATCGTGAGTGAGTGAGATGGAGTGAGATGGGGAGTGAGTGAGATCGTGAGGAGTGAGAGATGGTGAGTGAGATGGTGAGGAGTGAGATGGGTGAGGAGATGGTGAGTGAGATGGTGAGGAGAGATGGTGAGGAGTGAGATGGTATGGTGGATGGAGTGGGAGTGAGATGGTGAGTGAGATGGTGAGTGAGATGGTGGGTGAGATGGTGAGTGAGATGGTGAGTGAGATCCTGAGTGAGATCCTGAGTGAGACTTGAGGAGTGAGATGGGGAGTGAGATGGGTGAGGAGTGAGATGGGTGAGGAGTGAGATGGGGAGTGAGATGGTGAGGAGATGGTGAGTGAGATCCTGAGTGAGATCCTGAGTGAGATCGTGAGTGAGTGAGATGGTGAGTGGATGGTGAGTGAGATGGTGAGATGGTGAGTGAGTCTGTGAGTCTGAGTCTGTGAGTGAGACTTGAGATTGTGAATGAGCCAGTGAGTGAGATGGGTGAGTGAGATGGTGAGTGAGATCCTGGAGTGAGATCGTGAGGAGTGAGAGATGGTGAGTGAGATGGTGAGGAGTGAGATGGGTAGAGTGAGATGGTGAGGAGATGGTGAGTGAGATTCCGAGTGAGATCCTGAGTGAGATCAGGAGGAAGGAGATGGTGAGTGAGATGGTGAGTGAGTGAGATGGTGAGGAGATCATGAGGATCAGAGGAGTGAGATGGTGAGATGGTGAGTGAGTCTGTGAGTCTGAGTCTGTGAGTGAGATCGTGAGATTGGGAATGAGCCAGTGAGTGAGATGGTGAGTGAGATGCAGGAGGAGAGAGGGAGTGAGTGAGATGGTGAGTGAGATGGTGAGTGAGATCGAGTGATGGTGAGTGAGTGAGATCGTGAGTGAGATGGTGAGGAGTGAGATGGTGAGTGAGATGGTGGGAGAGATGGTGGAGTGAGGGATGGTGAGGACTGTGAGTGAGATGGTGAGCAGATCAGAGTGAGATGGTGAGTGAGATCGGAGGAGTGAAATGGTGAGTGAGATGGTGAGATGGGTGAGTGAGTCTGTGAGTCTGAGTCTGGGAGTGAGATCGGGAGTGAGATCGGGCAGTGAGATGGTATGAGACAGAGTGAGATGGTGAGGAGCAGACAGAGGAGATGGGTGAGGAGTGAGATGGTGAGGGGAGATGGTGAGTGAGATCCATGAGGAGTGAGAGATGGTGAGTGAGATCGTGAGGAGTGAGATGGAGTGAGATCGTGGGAGGAGTGAGATGGTGAGTGAGATCTTGTTGTTGAGATGGTGAAAGCAGGATGGTGAGTGAGATGGTGAGTGAGATGGGTGGAGTGACTTGAGGAGATGGCAGGAGTGAGATGGTGAGATGGTGGGAGTGAGTGATGGTGAGTGAGATCGAGTGAGATGGGTGGAGGAGGAGATTGGTGATGAGATGGTGGAGTGAGTGAGATGGTGAGAGATGTAGAGTGGAGTGATGGTGAGGAGATGGTGAGTGAGATGGTGAGTGAGGATATGAGAGATCCTGAGTGAGATCGCAGGAGGAGTGAGATGGTGAGTGAGATGGGGAGGAGTGAGATGGTGAGTGAGATGGTGAGTGAGACAGGAGTGATCCTGAGTGAGATCCTGAGTGAGATCAGAGTGAGTAGATGGTGAGGAGATGGTGAGGAGTGAGATGTGGGAGTAGATGGTGAGTGAGATGGTGAGTGAGATGGTGAGTGGGATGGTGAGTGAGTCTGTGAGTCTGAGTCTGTGAGTGAGATCGTGAGATTGTGAATGAGTCAGTGAGTGAGATGGTGAGTGAGATGGTGAGTGAGATCCTGAGTGAGATCCCTGAGGAGATCGGAGTGGGAGTGAGATGGTGAGTGAGATGGTGAGTGAGTGAGATGGTGGTGAGTGAGATGGTGAGAGATCCTGAGTGAGATCCTGAGGTGAGATCGCAAGGGAGTGAGATGGGTGAGTGAGATGGTGAGTGAGTGATGGGGTGAGTGAGATCATGAGTGAGATCGTGGGAGGAGTGAGATGGTGAGATGGTGAGTGAGCTCCTGTGAGTCTGGAGTCTGTGAGTGAGATCGTGAGATTTGTGAATGAGCCAAAGAGTGAAAGACACATTCACACATTAATACAGAACAGAGAGATGGTGGAGTGAGATGGAGGATCGGAGTGAGCAGAGATGGGTGAGTGAGATGGTGAGTGAGATGGTGAGTGAGATGGTGAGTGAGATCGTGAGTGAGATGGTGAGTGAGTGAGATCGTGAGTGAGATGGTGAGTGAGTGAGATGGAGAGACAGGAGTGAGAGGAGGATGGCAGGAGAGATCGTGTGAGTGAGATATGGTGAGTGAGATCGTGAGGGAGTGAGATGGTGAGTGAGATGGTGAGTGAGATCGTGAGTGAGAGCAAGAGTGAGACTCGTGAAGGAGTGAGATGGTGAGGTGAGATGGTGAGATGGTGAGGGAGCTCAGAGTCTGAGTCTGTGAGTGAGATCAGAGTGAGATCAGTGTGGAGTGGAGTGAGATGGTGGGAGGAGATGGTGAGTGAGATGGTGAGTGAGTGAGATGGTGAGTGAGATGGTGAGTGAGAGATGGTGAGTGAGTGAGATGGTGAGTGAGATGGGAGAGGAGATGGTGAGGATGGTGAGTGAGGATCGTGGAGGAGATGGTGAGTGAGATGGGTGAGATGGTGAGTGGAGTGAGATGGTGAGTGAGATCGGGAGGAGATGGTGAGGGAGTGAGATGGGGGAGGAGATGGGTGAGGAGTGAGATCGAGTGAGTGAGGATGGTGAGTGAGATGGTGAGGAGATGGTGAGTGAGATCCTGAGTGAGATCCTGAGTGAGGATCGTGTGGAGGAGTGAGGATGGAGTGGAGATGGTGGAGGAGTGAGATGGTGAGTGAGATCATGAGTGAGATCAGAGGAGTGAGATGGGGTGAGATGGTGAGTGAGTCTGTGAGTCTGAGTCTGTGGAGTGAGATCGTGAGATTGTGGAATGAGTCAGTGAGTGAGATGGTGAGTGAGATGCAGAGGGAGATCGTGAGTGAGTGAGATGGGTGGGAGTGAGATGCAGGAGTGAGATGGTGAGTGAGATGGTGAGTGAGATGGTGAGTGAGATCGTGATGGGTGAGATGTGGTGAGTGAGTGAGATGGTGAGTGAGATGGGGAGTGAGATGGTGAGTGAGATGGTGAGTGAGATGGTGAGGGGAGATGGTGAGTGAGATCGTGAGTGAGATGGTGAGTGAGATGGTGAGGGAGATGGTGAGTGAGATGGTGAGTGAGATCGTGAGTGAGATGGTGAGTGAGATGGTGAGATGAGGAGTGAGATGGTGAGTGAGATCGTGAGTGAGATGGGTGAGTGAGTGAGATGGTGAGGAGATGGGTGAGTGAGTGAGATCGTGAGTGAGATGGTGAGTGAGTGAGATGGTGAGTGAGTGAGATGGTGAGGAGATGGTGAGTGAGATGGGAGGAGATCCTGAGTGAGATCCTGAGTGAGATCAGTGAGTGAGTGAGATGGTGGAGGAGATGGTGAGTGAGTGAGATGGCAGGAGGAGATCATGAGGTGAGATCGTGGAGGAGTGAGAGATGGTGAGATGGTGAGTGAGTCTGTGAGTCTGAGTCTGTGAGTGAGATCGTGTGAGATTTCAGGGAATGAGCTAGTGGGAGTGAGATGGTGAGTGAGATGTGAGTGAGATCGTGAGTGGGAGTGAGAGATGGTGAGTGAGATGGTGAGTGAGATGGTGAGGAGATGGTGAGTGAGATCGGAGTGAGATGGTGGGAGGAGTGAGATCGTGAGTGAGATGGTGAGTGAGTGAGATGGTGAGTGAGATGGTGGGAGTGAGATGGTGAGTGAGATGGGTGGGAGTGAGATCAGGTGAGTGATGGTGAGTGAGATCGTGAGGAGATGGGTGAGTGAGATGG